AGTATATTTTTGCTTTGATGTCACAGTGCACTATGGCGGGAAGGCACACATAGTGGAGATGAGCCAATCCCTCAGCATTCCAGCAGCTATCCTATAACGGACATTCCACTCCAGGGATGGAGGTGGGTCCGTTCATGTAAAACATCATGAAGGTTTCCATTTGGCATGTATTGTACAAGATTAGACAATAGTCCTTGTAACACGAAAAGTCTAAGCAATCTGACTATATTTGGGTGCCTAATCTTTCCAAGGATTTTAACTTCTCTAACTATGCTTTGGATCTTCCTTTTGTTCCCAGCAAATGCTACCTTCTTTACTGCATAAACTAGGACTGGACCTAGTGGAACTTTATAAACAACTCCCATGAGTTCCTCTGCCGATGATATTCAGATTGTTTGGGTTTTTAATTAGCGTCCATCAGTATGTGAAGAATTGGGAAAGAACCTTCACTGGCAGGTATCTCGACTTCCTCCTTCGAGATTGGAAATAGTTGCATTAAATCCTTTTAAAATATTGCAATGCAAAATTTAAGGGATGCTTCATGAAGAAGATTAACAAGTAAGAGAGGAGAAAACATCATCTGATATTTAAGGAAAAAGCTTTTACGGAAGCAACTATAACACTATTATCAAAGATTTGGGGGGGGGGGTGTACAGAGACAGTATTCATAATAGATGAAGAAAAATCTATATGGGTAAAAAGGGATAACAACCAGCACAGGCATCACAATGACCTCACCTCAGACTTTCATGCCCAGCCTATTCATTAGTATCCATATGCTATCAAAGAGGAAAGATGTGTTACATGGGAACTAGGGGATAGGGTCAGTAAATAATTTGCTAGGAACCCATCTAACTACTGTTAGCATAAACAGGGGAGAGAGATGCAAACTGGTATGAAATGAATAGTATTTTGGCATTTAATTTTATGGAGGTTATTGCCATGCATCCAGCTGGTTGGGGTAGAATTATGATTCTACATAATTCTCTAACGTTAAAACCCTACTTATCTGAAGAAAAAGCACCAGGGGAAAAGTTTCCAAATTATCTACAAGCAAGGAAAATATGAGAAAGAATGAATACTCAAAGTAGAACTAAAAAAAAAAATAATACAAAAAAGAGAGCTACTTGATGGTGTCTCTCGCCCTGCTAATCAACTACTCAAAAAAATAGGAGGCTGCTGCTAGTAGCAAGAGAAATCCCCAAAATGAATGAAGCTCTGTCGTGTTGAACAAAAATTCCTGTATAAATTAGACAACACAGAAGTCGCACAGCCCTTCCGATAACTAGAAATAGCTTACATATCAAACCCTTGTGTTTTATAAACCATCTTAGGAGTAATGATTAATGATAGCAGAAAGGAAGCGTGATTATTTTTTGATTTCCTTGTTTCTTTTCGACGTGTCATTAGATGGAATTAAGCACTAGCGTAAGATGTATGGCAATCAAACAGTACTTCACAGATACTGGATATCCAAAGGGGTTAAGAGAATATAAGGAAGGCGATGTAGAAGAAAACAGGGAGGAGAGAAGGCTAACAAGCCAAGAGTTTTTAATCTAACAAATTATTTTGTGGGAGAATGGCATTTATGATCCTCTTAAGGAAATCTATCGCATTAAGAACCTATCAGATATTATCTTGTAAAACACGTATATGTTGTCGCTAAAAGCTCAACCTTAACTGATAGGCCCTAATTATGACAAATTCTCTTAAGGGGGCTGTAAATGTCATTCTCCCTTCTTTTATTGTAAATATGACTTCATGGAAGTTAATAGCCCTTGTCATTGTCGATTGGACACAAGTCCTACCTGGATCAATGGATTGTTCAAAGAATTCAGCAGCATCTCTCATTTCAGCCTCTTCCTGGATTTGTCTCAGTACACATTAAAGCCACCAAAAGTACCTTCATAACTTGCCCCATTACATTTAAATCTGAAATCTCCCTTGCAATGCTTGAATCAACAATCTCTTCAAGTTCTGTTGTTCTTTTCCAAAGATTTAAACACACTACTAAAGGGGGCTCTTCCATAAATGAGGAATCCATACGTTCTTCCTGTTTATCAGCTCAGCAAAAGCACCCATAACTATATCATCAAGTTCACAGCTCGTAACTCCCAGACATGCTATCTCTGCTAAGAGAATGTAAACATGTAAAATGGGATGAAATATTATACTTTTCATATATTTTCAGTTGGTTTTATGGGATTAGGGAACCAGTAATTCCCGATGGGGATGGTGAATTGCGTGGCCCTGCACAATTAACCACAAGCCTTTACTGTTAATTCATCATCTGCAGAAATAATGGACCCAGTTGGTTTAGCTTAGGGTAAAAAAAAAAAGCACTCATTTTTGTGAAAAAAAAAAGCTATTTTGGGATTTTTAAGATGGGGGGTTAAACTGGTGAAATAAATGAGACTTTGAAAAAAAAGTAGATTTCTGATTATTTTAAGAAGCTATTTTGAGTAGCTTCTGGAAATAATATAATGCGTAGATGAGATAGCATTTTAAAGAGGCAGGATATGTAAAGATATAATAAATTTTTAAAATAATAGAAATAATAAATTATTTTATAAAACAAAAAATCAAGGAAGATATCATAAAAAATTTAAAAATAACCAGGCTAATAATCACACCTTTTTATTATAGAACCAAACATAAAATTTATCGGCTTTTTATAAAATATCTATAAACTAAATCTGTTTTTATAAAAAGGGCCAATTTGTTTTAGCTTATTTCATGAAAAAACTATTTATTTTTTTTAAAATTATTTTAGAAGTTTTTATGATGTTGGTTTAAACTTTTAAAAATAATCAAAATCTGAAAAGAAGTAGATTTTCGCTTTTAAAAAGCTATTTGAGTAGGCCTCAAAATAATGTAATGCGATAGATGGAAGAGAGTGGGTTTAATGAGGCGAAGATACACCAAGATATCATAAAATTTTAAAATAATATAATAATAAATTATTTTTTAAAAACAAAAATTAAGAAAGATCTCATAAAATTAAATAATAACGAACTAATGATGTTTTTTTTATTATTGTATCCAAAGATAAAAAATGTTTGATTTTTATAAAATCTCTACAAAATAAATCTCTTTTTAAAAATATTTATAAACCCATAAAAATTATTTATTTTTTAATCTTAAATAAACGGGTCCAAAATCTCTAAGCTACATAAAAACACTTACTCCCTCTATTAAAAAAATGTAAAAACATTTTTAATCAAACCTCAGCCCTCAATAAAGTAATTACCTACTTTCAAACCAACCCTATTTCATATTTACCCCTATTAAATACCCTACAATAAATATAAAATCATTTATCAATTGGAATACTTTTAAAAAAAATGTAATAATTACACCTCAAAAGACTAAAAATGCCTATATTTTTTAACATATAACTTCTCAAAAAATATTTTATATTTTTGAACGGAGGGAGTATTTTTAAATATTAAACAAAACAGGCCCATCATCTTCTAGGGATGAAATCCATTCTAGTTTTATTGAGAGAAAGGAAACTAATCAACCAAGTGCTGAACAATAGCAATTACCTGGTGCCATAACCCCACGAGTACCTAGATGATATGTTGACCGCAAACGTGCCAGAGCAAACTCGTCCAAGTAATGGAAATACCAAAATCACTAATGCAAGGCTGCATATCAGAATCAAGAAGTATATTCTTTGGTTGATGTCTCGATGCAATATGGGAGGATCACAGTCATGATGGAGATATGCCAATCCCTTTGTTATTCCATAGCAATCTTATAGCGAACATTCCAAGCTAAGCATGTTTGTGGATTGCTTTCATGCAAAACATCGTTAAGGCTTCATTTTCCATGCACCTGCTGATGGTTAGACCATATCTTCACATATCCAAGAGCCTAAGCATCTTGCTAGATTTTGATGCCTAAAGTTCTTAGTCATTTCAATTTCTCTGACCAAGTTCAATTTCCTCCTATTGCTCCCTGCAAGTTTAACCTTCTTAACAGCAAAAACTCCAACACCAAGTTCAGCTTTATAAACAATCCCATGCCCTCCTTCACCAATTATATATCGATCATGTAGAAAATCTGTAGCATCCATTAGGTCAATAATTCTAAAACCCCCCTCGTGATTTGAAAACAAAGCCTCTTGCTCTTCACAGTTAACATTGACCTCCATGTAAGATATTTGACCAAACTGGCGGATGTAAATGACAAATGATAGGTAAATTACGCTTGACAGGAAAATGATAGATGACCAGCAAATGACAAACACTATTAGTCCAAGTACTACTAAATTCGAATGCTTGTTGCCTTCTTGGTCAGTTGAATTAGTGGCGCATGGCTTCAAATGGCTAGTTTTTATGCAACTCGGGCCATCTGAAGTCGAACAACTAACACAAAGGCCAGGATTGCCAAAGAATGACGATGGATATAAATCCAGTAGTTGAATCGTCCTTTCTGGTAAAGGACCGAAGAATGAGTTGTAAGATATATTGACTTCTGTTAATGAAACAAGTTCACCAAGAATTTGTATGCTCCCTGTCAAACTGTTCAGGGATATATCTAGACTTTCTAGCATTTTCAACTTCCCAACGTCTTGGGGGATCCCAACTGTTAATTTATTAGCGCTCAGATTCAACTCATACAAGTGAACCAATGATCCAATTGATGCAGGAATTGTTCCTTGGATCATATTTCCACCAAGTTGTAGCTCGAGAAGCTGAGCATACTCTGAGAAGAAATATGGGACAAACCCACTGAAATGATTCTCTCTTAAAATCAATCTGTTTATTCTAGTCCAGCTCCTTATGCTTGATGGGAATGAACCATTAAGAAAATTAAATCCTACATCAAATGTAGACATTTGTGTACAGTTTGACAGTTGCAGTGGCAAAATACCTACTAGGTTATTGTGAGCAAGATTTAAAACCTGAAGTTTCACAAGGTTTCCTAGCTCTGAGGGTATAAGACCTATAATGTTATTCGTGGACAACATTAAACCAATAAGATTTGTGCAGTTCCCCAAACTCGATGGAATTACTCCACTGATGTTGTTCTTGCTAATGTCTATGATTATAAGATTCTGATTACCTTCAAATTTAGGAATAGACCCTGAAAGATTATTGTCATTGAGAACTAACCGTGCAAGAGTTGCACACTTTCCCAAATCTTGAGGTATGCCCCCTTGAAGTTGATTAAGACCTAAATACAGCGTGCGCAGTTGCTTTCCAAAACAAAGATTTGGCGGGATGTTACCAGTGAACGTATTATTCATCAAGCTTAGCATCACTAAACTACTATTGATTCCCAAACCTTGAGGAATTGGTCCAAAGAATTGGTTGTCAGACAATGAGATATTTTTCAGATGCTTGAGCTCTGTCAACTCAGAAGACAATTTCCCGGTGAGGTTATTATCATGAACAAGGACATGCTTGACACTCTGAATCTTCCAAATGGTAACTGGAATTTTGCCTGTCAAATGGTTGGAATACAATTCAAGGTCCTCCAGCTGACTTAGTATTCCCAACTTATTTGGAATTGGTCCCTCTAGTTGATTGGAATACAAACGTAACGACTTCAAAGATTTGCAGTTTCCAATTTCTGGAGGCATTTTTCCAGACAATTGATTCTTAGAAAGATCAATATACTCAAGCAGACTACAATTGCCTAACTCTGGGGGGTATTGTTCCTGAGAAACCATTTATTGCCAACGAAAGGTTCTGCAAGTGAGTCAACTGTCCAATTTCTGGCCCAAGCTGTCCAAAAATCTGAGATGCAGTGAGGTTTAAGAAGACCACGTTGCTGTAGCGGTCGCATTTTATTCCTATCCAAGAACAAGGGGTAGAATCAGAGGATTTCCAGCTGGACTTCAAAGAAGGAGGCACAGAAGTCCAGTGGTTGAGGAGAGACAATAGAATCAGCCCATCCGAATTCAAGGTAGAAGTGATATAGAATGGATTAGACAAGCATAGGATAAATAATAGGAGCTTCATTAGGAGAAGAGAAGAGTTGACACTGAGATTAAAAAAAATGTTGAAGAAGAACAAAAAGTGCTTACTTTGCTGCAGCTTAGAACCAGTGTACGTAATTGAAAGGTTGTGTACAGCTTAGCGAATTTAAGTCTTACACGAAGATATACGACCTCAAAGTTGTCCATTCGTCGTCATTAAAGCCTACGGAGTTTAGTCATAAAAATCAAAGGAGGTTGGCAATTTAGAACCCAATGTTCAACAAAGATGTTCCGAGTTAGGAAAAAGAGGGGATGCTTTCACATTTGAGTCTTGACTTGTTGACTTGCTTTAGAGCTGGTAATACGGGAGGTCAACCCGCCAAATAATGACAGATTGAGCTGGCAAAGATGAAGCTGTTAAAATATCCCGGTGAGGTTGTCAAGAAAAATTATTTAAAAAATAACAGTCAAATTATAATTGAATATAAAATTGTTGTGTTTTGGGAGATGGAGAGGGGAAAATTGAAAGAGCCAAATCTCAAGAAGTTTATACTAAAAAGGTGCACAAGTCAGTACTTCAAGAATGACAGCAGAGTCAACCCAATGGAGCTTAAACCAGAAGCCATGTATAAGCAAGCAGAGAAGCATAGGATCAATAACTGGAATTGCAGTGAGAGTGAAAATAATGTGCTAGCTTAAAGTAAAAGCGGATGGAAATGACATCAATAAGTATTCAAAGGACCAAAAAGTGCTTCCTTTGCTGCAGCTTGAAAGAAGAATAAGCATGTGCAATCTGCAGTGGACGTTGATGGGTGTCACTTCTTTCTTTTTTCGTCACTTCAACAACCCACCATCCTCTATTCTTTTTCTTTCTTTTCTAATCTTCACTTTAGTAATAGCAAAAGAAAAGTTTCGATCCATGATCTTTTAGCGCTTTATTTAAAGAGATGTTGAATGAGGTGGAAAGTGGGAGCAGTGTTGGGCAATTATAGTGATTGAAATGGAAAAGAGAGAGCTTTCACTTTCAAATCTTGATTGTTGTGGATCAAATAAATATCCTTATCCTTATCAATGTCCCTTCATTCACTTTCTAACTTTTTTTGGGGAGACGCTAATTCAAATAAACAAATGTCTCATAGGTATTGAAATTTGGAAAAACAGTGATATGATTTTCTATTTAATTATAACTTTGTAGGACACAAAATCAAAATATACTTGCATTAAGCATGAAACTTCAGAACAAAGACAAGATATGCACAATGCTTTATATAAAATGAAAACATAAATTTTACAGTGTGACAAAATAAAATAAGTATATTCAAGATAAAAAATATTTTATATTCTTACTTTAAAAATAATAAAATTTATTGAACAATGATAACAAAATGATAAACAAAAGAAAAAATAATTATACGACTATCAAAGGATCCTAATAAAGTAATCTGAAAAAGGAGCCCAATATAACATTTTGACCAGACAAGGGCACGGGATTTTCAACCAAAGGCTAATTTTGCCATCATGAAAAACTTCAGGAAGTTTAGTCATGATAAATAAACTAGTTTGGTAAGTTAAAACCTGAGTTCATCGAAGGCGAGGCCTATTATGTAGTAATTTTGCAGTTGCAGGAGCATAAACAATAACAGATTATATCCCATTCAAGCAACTATTAGTGTACCCTTTATTTTTCCAAATGCGTTCTCTGAATATCTCTTAGGAAGTCAAGAAAAGTGCAAAACATAGCAGACATATAAGGCCGCAAATACGAGTTTTAGAACTCAGAATGGATATAATTTCAGTCCTCAAGAAGATATAAGAGAAAATGACAATTAAAAATCTTACAAGACCATTGATTACAATTATGAACCTCAAATTATTGAAATCCCAATAATTAAATATGTTTCTTACCTAAAATTAAAAATATATGAGTTTATAAAGTTGATTTCAAGTATTAAAATTACTATTATAGATTGAAATTATTGTTAATCTCAATTAGTACTGGATAAACGGGTTACGGGCCAGCTCGTGAGTTAGTATTTTTGCGGGTTGGGTTAAGCTAACCCGTCAAATAAAACGGGTTGAAAAACCCAACTCAACTCCCAGCCGGCAGAAATTTATCAATTTTTTTAACAATTTAAAATTTATATAATATAAATATATATATTTATTTCACATTTTAAGACAAATTAACAATTAAAGAACTTGTAAATAAATAAAATAAATATAAAATTCAACCAAGCAAATTTATTTTGTTAAATTTTTACTATTAATCATCTTCTCGCCTAGGTGTATTATCTTTCTCACTAGGAAAGAAAATTTAAACATAAACCCATATTACTTTTTCTAATGAATTTATATTTATGATTTCAATCAATAGATCTTATGAGATTAACAAATAATATATATTCAAAATATTTTTATAAAAACTAATAAATCATTGATTTACAAACTACAACAAAAATTTTAATTGCAAATTGTAAAAAAGATTTATATTATATTTCAAATGTAAAGAATATATTTGGGAGTTATAAATTATATATTTGAGAGATATTATCATTATTGTAGATTTATAAAAAGATATAATATGATTAAAAAATAAAAAAATTATTCTTAAAAAATATGCTAACCCGCGGACTAACTTGTGTTAACCTACTAGTTTTGTGGGTTGGGTTAGCCCAATCCATTTTAAAAAAACGAACTAATTTGTTCAATCTAATCCGTCAAATTTTGTGGGTTAAACAAGCTAGCTCACATGCTTAACTTGTTTTTTCGACTCCAATCTCAGTTAGAAAAACTAGAATCTAAACTTGAAAATGGGATTAACAATAATCTCAACTCATAATAGCAAATTCAATAGTCTCAACCCATATTACTTGGGATCCTTATTTCCCCCAATTGACATTAATAATAGTCTCAACCTATAATAGTAATTTCAGTAGTGTCTTTCCTTGACTTTCTAAGTAGTTTACCTATATATTAACAAGTATAAAAATTTACCAATGATTAGCTTCATATTCAAAAGTGATTTTGATAAATTTTTAAGATTATCATATATTCATAAATGTCTTTCAAAAGTTTTACAAGTTAATTTTAGTTTCATAGTGGGAAATGTAACATCCTGATTTTTTATATAATAAAGAAATTGTGGAATTTAGGTTTTGAGAAAAAAAATGATAATAATAGGAATTTATATTATTTGAGGTTATTTAGAAATAATATTATGGTTAGGTATTTAATTATGAATTTAAAAATTTAAATTTAAAACCACATAAGTAATATTTAGATAAGATATAATATACAAATAATTTTTTTTTATGTGTGTGTTTAAAAAAAAGAGAAGGTAGAAGGAACAAAAAAAGGGGGGTAGAAGGTTGTTGTTTCTAAGTCCCACATTGGTTAGATGAGGGAAGAGAAGAGGTGCCTTCATGTATAAAAAGGAGGGGGTGTGTGCATTAGGAAGCATGAGAGGGTAAGATGCAATTTAGAGAAAATTGCAACTTTTGGCCCAAAGGTTTGAATAATTAAATTCAAACCTATAGTTTTTTTTAATATAATTTTGGGACTCACAATCCCATTTTTATATTATTTTTCTCTCTTCCTCTCACGTTGCTCGGCGTTTTCTCGCAAGGGAGGATTATTTTCTTTTTCTTCAGGTATGTTCTAACTTTCCTGTTTAGATTAGCATTTAAAAATTTATTTAATTACAAAATTAATTTTATAGTTATTTTCTAAATAATATTAGCTTTCTAGTGATATGATTATTTTGTAGGATAGAGTAAATATTTTGATTAAGATTTTTTTTATAGGATAGTTAATCTGATGATATGATAGATTAAAATATAGGTTAAAACTCTTAGGGATATAATAAATATTATAGAATATTTTCTTGAGGTTGAAACTCATGTTTAAGAATTTTTGAGTTAAAATCTAGATCTATATGGTTGAATTTATGTGGAATCTGAGATGTAGGGATAAATCTCTGATTATTAAATATTTATTTAAGTATGAATAGGTATTTTTGAGGTTATAGAAAGGTGATTTGAGGTTTCAGGATAATTCTAAAATTTTTAATTTATTTTTAAACGAATTTTTAGAATATAGAATGATGAAATTGTGATACTAGAAGTGATTTGAGGATAAAAAAAATAGTTTATTAGGGTACGAGAATTTTAGAAAAGAATTTAGAAAGTTAAATGAGGCATAAATCTTAAATTAGTATTAATATGGATTATAGATCTAAGACTTTCTAACTCTTTAAATTAAAGTTATTTATTTTAATATAAAATTAATATATAGTATTGTGAAATAATTATGTAGATTATATTGACAAAGATAGTGGTGAAAAAGGAGTTGTGAAGGGGAACTTGTTATTCAAGACACAAGGTAACCATTATTAATGTGTTGTGATGAGTGTGTTTGTGAATGGTTATGTGTTGTTTTGTTGTTTGGAAAAATTATGAATTATTGAAAATAAATACTGTATATACTTGTTTGAAATTATTGCCAAGCGGGTTAAAAATTTATTTTTTATTTATCATGATGAGATATTATTGTTCGGATATATTCCTGTTTGGATATTTGAATGATGCATGACTTGTCAGGGTATTTTAATGTATGGTGTTAATGGGAATTTCTGTTCTGTTAATTATTACCACGTGGTAAGCCCTCATTGGACCCAATGAGTGGCGTGTCGCTTGGTCCAACTCACCTTTGGCCGGGTGATTTGGCGTCCGAGCATGGTGAAAGGAGGAGATAAGGTGCAGTCATGCAATTAAATACTTGTTCGGTTTGTTTGAAAATATTGTTTGGTTAAATGTTTTGTGTGCCCACTTAGCAATCGCATGATTAGTTACATCCGCATGCATCATTACATATTAATTTTTGGTTACTGGGACTTTTAAGTCTCATTCCCCGTGGTTAATATTTTTACAGGAGCGAATCCGGCCGAGAAAGCACCAGAGGTGTAATTATGGTGTATGAGACACCATCTTTTACGTTGCCTCTTATTTTGAATTATACAATGTATCTTGTGCCAACTTAGGACATATCTTGTC